CTTCCGCCTGAGATACAGACCCGAAATATAGCTTGTGCGCATGTTAGGACCACACCACCGCAAATAATGATTACAGTCTTGGCTTTCTTTGCCCCTCGGGATGTCAACAGTGTTAAGTAAAGGGAGAAAAGAAATGCGCACTAAATAAACGAATAGAAGTAAAAGCGAATCGCGTTGATTTGTTTCGTTATTTTTTTTATTCGTGCACACAAAACCACTCTAAAGCATCTAGAAGTTAATGTGAATGAAGAACGTAGTCACAGATAGAAACAACAACAACACAATTACACATCAACCCCCTAAAATGCCTGGTTTAAAAACAATATAAAGGCATCAACGAATTCCTTGACAGACACAATTAGAAGTTTCGGCCACGGTTAGAGAAACTTTAAGCCTAAAAAAACAACGGCAGTGTGTTGAGGTGATGTCCTCGAAGAGAACGGTTAATGTCTTTTTCTAACACGAAAACAGTTTTGGGCAATGGGAAAAAACGAAAAAATATAGTTATTAATATTTTGAATTGGTTGACGAGTAGCAACCCCCCCCCCCCCCCACACACACAAGCCAATATTTAAAAAAAATTGAACAAGATCCAGCTCAAGGAGAACTTTTGAAACCTGTTTAAAGTGTTCAAAGAGAAAAAGGCACCAGTGTTCTAAAAATAAATGTACTCTATTAATAGGATACTGCCTCTGCACAAATAAATGTACTCTATTAATAGGATACTGCCTCTGCACAAATAAATGTACTCTATTAATAGGATACTGCCTCTGCACAAATAAATGTACTCTATTAATAGGATACTGTCTCTGCACAAATAATGTTTCTCTTGTAATATAACACTGGAGATGGCTACACAGTTTTCACACACAAAACCACACACACACACAACCAAACACACACACACACATATTAACTATTAAATATATATACATATTTTTTTTTCACAATGTAATGATGGTGTAGACTTCGCTGGACGAAATCACAAGGCATATCTACATATTATACGTTTAAAACACGACACAATTAAATTGTTAATTTAATAGTACGCAAGGAAAAACACATTTAATGTGATACAATTAAAAACAAAAAAAGAAGAAGAAGCATCTTCTACGTCTGCCATCGGCTCCTTTTGATCTAGACATACACCCCAGTTGTTGAGAGTTAGCTTCACAAGTCAGTTTCTTGTAGCCTGGGGATAAAAGATTGGATGCTGAGATACAATAAATCTTCTATTCACATCTTGTGTTGTTGTTTAGGCCACCCGTTTCCAATGTACCCCTAGCAAACGACACCCTTCCTAAAACAAATCTGAGCGTTTCATCTTTGAAAAAAGAAATACGTATACCAGAGGCGTCCCTTAGATTGGGTAAACTCGTGGTGTAAGCCCCCCCCCTTTCCCCCTTTATATTGTGCCGGAATTCCCCATCCAGGATCTCTAAAGACGTATTCTTAAACTAAATCCGATCACAAAGAATCATCCATCCCTATGGCGCTACAGCCCATGTAGGGCTTTGGCCTCCCTCACCACTTCCTTCCACTCAGACCAACCTTGCTATTTCCCATGCTTGGATTCCCAGCTGCTATAGACCTTTTTCCATATCATCCACCCACCTAAGCCTAGGTCTGCCTTTGAGCCGTTTTCCTCTGGGGTTTTGGTGGTGCACCCTCTTCACTCCCCTGGCATTCAGCATTCTTTCTAAATGTCCACCCAAGTGTAGCCTGCCCATTTTTTTTCTGCTACTAGCGTGGGATCCTGATATAGACTGTACGATTTCTGGTTGGTTCGCATTCTCCATCCATATTCATCCATGATTGGTCCATATATTTTCCTGAGAACTTTTCTCTCCCATGTGTTTAATAGGTTTTCTGCCACTTTTGTAGGGTCCAATTTTCACTTGCGTATGTTACATCCGGTCTGATCACAGTTTTATAAATAGTTTTCTTTGTTTCTCTTGTAATGTTTCTACATTTGAGTATTCTCATTACAAAGAACCGGCTCTGTTATAATGTGTGTATTAAAACACAAGGCAACAAAAGACGTACACACGAGGCAACAAAAGACGTACACACGAGGCAACACAAGACGTACACACGAGGCAACACAAGACGTACGCACGAGGCAACAAAAGACGTACACACGAGGCAACAAAAGACGTACACACGAGGCAACAAAAGACGTACACACGAGGCAACAAAAGACGTACACACGAGGCAACAAAAGACGTACAAACATAGAATTCCAAGTTGCAGCGTTTAAAAAACAAAAGAAAAAAAATCACTTTTAAACATTCAAAATTAAGCTTTACAATTAAAACCTAATTTTCCTGGTCCTCTAAGATTCAAACATTTCAATCACTTTATTATTCAACAGATTATTTACCTCATCACATTCAACTGACCCAAATCTTAAGACCAGAGAACCATCGCAAAAAGCTCGTTATACGTTTCAGTATGTTTTAGTTACTGCAAGCTCCCCCGACATGGAGCCAGAGACCAACAGTTACTGCAAGCTCCCCCGACATGGAGCCAGAGACCAACAGTTACTGCAAGCTCCCCCGACATGGAGCCAGAGACCAACAGTTACTGCAAGCGCCCCCCGACATGGAGCCAGAGACCAACAGTTACTGCAAGCTCCCCCGACATGGAGCCAGAGACCAACAGTTACTGCAAGCGCCCCCCGACATGGAGCCAGAGACCAACAGACCGTGATATATAATTAAAGCTGAAAGAAACCCTGAACACGAGGAACTGGATTAAAGGGTCGCAGCACTAAGAAAGCTGAGAACGCCTCGCTCTGGTACGGTAAGGCATCCAATTTTTTAACCTTAACCAAACCGCTTTCAAATACGTACATTTTACTGTTGAGGATCTGGCCTACTGTACCACTGGGCAGAGATCCGCTTGCACCACTCTCTCCAACTTTGGAACGGTGAAGTACTTGACTGTGGAATATAAAAAATTCTAACGATAGACCTGTGTTTTGGTTCTGTTCCTCTATAGGAGGAATATCCCTGGAGAGAGTTATGTTGGGGATTGGGGGGGGGGGGGCCGAAGAAATAGGAATACATGGAAGGGTTAATTGTTTTTCTATAGGAGGAATATCCCTGGAGAGAGTTATGTTGGGGATTGGGGGGGGGGGGAGTCGAAGAAATAAGAATACATTGAAGGGTTAATTGTTTCGTCAAATTCATTTGACATAGTTTCGTAAATCTAACATTAAAAAAAGGAAATGTTGGTCCACATAATGATTGGACAGACTAGATTATTTAAAAATGCCAACGGGAAATCCTGTCAGACTTGGAAGAAATAATTGTGTGCCCTGCCTTAGAATCATGTGCATCACAGTGGAATGATTTATAATTTAAAACAATTGATATCTGTGTACTTTATTGATTCAATTTGATAAGTTATACATTTTAACACATTATTAAAGAAAGGAAAAAAAAATACTCAGAATCTGTTTAAAAAAATGTTGATACCCTCCTCCATTTTTTGTTGTTGTAAAAACAAACAACAACCACCCCCCCCCCCCTTTTTCACTGACCCCAAAAAAAAAAAAAAAAAAGAACAACTTTATATATCTGTACAATGTCACTCACTTTGACCTTGTAGTACTATAAAACGTTGTAAATACTTCCGTGCCAAAAGGTTGAAGGTCAATATCTGAAAACATCAGACGTTAAACAAAATACTATCGAGGTAAAGTTTTAATCGTGAAAAAGAAACTACGTTTTGTCAACAAAGCAAATGATGGACTTGAAACTGAAGCTCTAACAACTGAGATTGCTTTGTACATTACTGATTTCTGATAAACCTGAAATACTCGTTACAGTGGCGACGCCATCAAATTTAACATGGCGGGTCCCTTGCAGGTCTTAAAAAATTTGGCGGGTCCCAAATAAATGTATTAAAAATAAAAAATTAAACATATAAAGTCATTTAAAATGGAAGTTCTCTTACATGTGATGTAGTTTACGCTTAATGAGCATATATAAAATATTAGTAACTAATAAAAATTTACCAGGTCATTTGCCAGGTCCCAAGTTTTTTTTACCAGGTCCTGGGACCCGGCGGGACCTGGTGTAGCGTCGCCACTGACTCGTTATAAGACCAAGAGATGTCATTTGTTTATAAGAATTAAACTTTTCAGATATCTTTAAAAATGATAATGTATTTCTATTTGGCTTTCTGCATTTGCATGATGGAAGAATTGGCTAACAACTGAGCTGTCAAACCTTTATTGTATAGTCACATTAGCTGTCACACAACTGAGCTGTCAAACCTTTATTGTATAGTCACATTAGCTGTGACACAACTGAGCTGTCAAACCTTTATTGTATAGTCACATTAGCTGTGACACAAATGAACTGTCAAACCTTTATTGTATAGTCACATTAGCCGTCACACAAATGAGGTGTCACACTAATTAGCCGTTAAAACCTGTATTATTTGGCCAAATTAGCTGTCACTCAAATGAGCTGTCAAACCTTGATTGTATAGTGAAATAAGCTGTCACACAAATGAGCTGAAAAAACCTTTATTGTATAGTGAAATAAGCTGTCACACAAATGAGCTGTCAAACCTTTATTGTATAGTCAAATAAGCTGTCACACAAATGAGCTGAAAAACCTTTATTGTATAGTGAAATAAGCTGTCACACAAATGAGCTGTCAAACCTTTATTGTATAGTCAAATAAGCTGTCACACAAATAAGCTGCCAAACCTTGATTGTATAGTCAAATAAGCTGTCACACAAATGAGCTGTAAAACCTTTATTGTATAGTCAAATAAGCTGTCACACTAATGAGCGGTCAAAACGTTGTTGAAGTCAACCAGATTAGAACTGAACTGTCACACAAACGAGTTGTCAAACCTTTGCTGTAGTCCAGTCCGGTGATGTCTTTCATCATCTCGACAATGTCAGCATGACCCCGTTGTTTGGCTGCGACCATGGCGAGTTGTACGTCCTCCGTGACCATGGAGTCTTTCTGTTCAAGGAGCACCTTCACGGCCTGGCGGTGACCATTTTCTGCCGACAGCACCAGGGCAGTCTTTCCGTTCGTGTTCCTTCTGTTGACATCCGCCTTTTTTCCCAGAAGTCTCTGCATCACCAGATGGTGTCCGTTCGTGGCACACGACAACAGAGGCGTGTCTCCATCGGATTCGGCCAAATCGACTTCAGCCCCCTTCTCTAGAAGATCATCCACAACAGCGCTGTGTCCAAACTGTGCGCTGATGTTCAGCGGCGTACTGCCATGTCTGTTGGTGGCGTTGACGTCAGCTCCAGCTTTGATCAGTGCCCTGGCGATGCCCGCCTTTCCTCTCTTGGCAGCGATGATCAAAGCCGTGTCGCCTCCGTCAAACTCTTTAGAGTCCAAATTGTTTAAGACGTCTTGGGCCTCCAGCAGATAATGAACGATCTCCACGTGCCCATTGTGGCACGCCAGCATCAGAGGCGTGAAGCCGCTGTTGTTGGCTGATGCCGCCTTTCCTTTAGACTCCAACAGTAATCGAACGGCGTCTTTGTGACCATTGGCGGAGCAAATGTGAAATACCGTGTTACCTTTATTGTCCGTAGGTTCGGGATGTGCTCCATTCTCCAAAAGAACCCTCATACACTCGGTTTTCCCAAACTGCCCACATTGCATGATTGGTGTCCAGCCGTTGTCCCCGCACTGGTTCACACTAGCTCCTGCGTTGATCAAAATCCTCACGATTTCGGGGTCCCCGTTGTTGGCGGCGTTCATCAACACCGTCCTCTTGTTGTTACTAGTCACACCGATCTGAGCACCTTTGCTGATCAGGTCCTCCACGATAACCCTGTGGCCTTTCAGTGCCGCCACGTGTAACGGTGGCACACCATCTTTGTCCGCTTTGTTCACATCAGCTCCGGCGTTTAGGAGCACCTCCACCACTTCAGCGTGGCCTTCGTGCGTGCTCAGCAACAACGGCGTGTGGCCCTTCGAGTTGGCGCAATCGATGTCTGCTCCGCTGTCTTTTAAAAGGGCCACCGTCGTGGCGTGTCCTTTCATGGCAGCTTTTAGCAGGGGCGTCGAGCCGTCCTCATCAATGACATCGACAAGCACCTTCTTCTCAATAAGGGCTCGGACAATGTCAGCGTGACCATGTCCAGCGCTGATATCTAGGGCGGTAACTCCAGCTTTAGATTTGTTGTCGACGTCTGCCCCATGTTGTATGAGGTAAATGGCAGTCGGCGTGTATCCAAACTGAGCAGCTAACATCAGAGCGGTCCATCCTTTTCTTTCAATGGCGTTCACGTCTGCTTTGTTCTGCACGAGCAGTTCAACGATGTCCAAATGGCCACCATACGCAGCTTGCATTAGTGGCGTCTGACCTTTTAAGTTTGAAATGTTTACATCTGCCGTTTTATTCAGTAGCTCTTTAACAATGCTGAGGTGACCTTTTCCTGCAGCATTGAGCAGTGGACCATCCCCATCAGCGTCACACAAGTCTACCAGTGCCCCGGCACTGAGAAGTACCTGCACTACTTCGGTCTGTCCATTGTACGCACTGTTGCAGAGGGCGGTTTGTCCATTGGGTCCAGGGAGATTCACGTCAGCCCTATGTTCTATGAGCGATTTGACAATTTCCGCGCTGCCCGTAAAACAGGCTTTATGTAGCAGGCCGATGCCTTTTTTAGCCCTAAAGTTGATCCCAGGGTAAGGTTTGGGCTGTCTGGACAGCAGCACTTTCACGATCCGTTTCCGGTTATTTTGTACAGCCGACGCCAGGGCGTTTTGATATTCCAAGTTGAAATGTAGGTCATCAGCCCCGGCCTCCAGCAACGTTTGAACAATCTCAAGTTGATCGTTTTGACACGCACACATCAGAGGCGTATCCCCGCCATTGTCGGCGATGTTAGGGTCGGCACCTGCTTTGAGCAGATGCGTTACAATAATGCTGTTACCATCCAGTGCGCTGACAAACAGTGGAGACCTTCCGTCTTTCCCGGTTTTGTTCACATGGGCCTCGTACTTGGGCTTGAGTAATTTCTTCACCACGGTTGTTTGACCTTTGAGTGCCGCCGTCAGTAGTGCAGTGTACCCCAACTTATTTCTGTGATTTATCTTCGGATCATGTTTCAGCAGGACGCTCAGCGTGTCAGCGTGACCGTGGTCGGCACAGATCTCCAGGGCGGTCCCTCCGGATATCTGCTCGGCGTTCACATCCGCCCCTGCCTTGATGAGCAGCTCGGCCACTTCGAAATGATTCTCCACGGCGGCAGCCATCAGAGGCGTCCACTGGCGCACGTCTCTGGTGTTGACATCAGCTCCTTTCTCTAGGAGAATTTTAACAATCGCCATCATGCCTTTGTTGCACGCCAAGCTTAAGGCATCGCTCCCGTTGTCATTTCTGGCCTTCCAATCGATCACTCCCGCGTCCAAGAGATCTCGGGCTATCCCTTCATGTCCGCCCGTTATAGCCAAGTGCAGGACGTTGTCGCCGTCGTAATCTCTCAGATCAATGTCTTGAGTCTTAGTCGCGAGCAGCCCTACAACATCCTCCTGTCCGGCCACACAAGCCATGAGCAGGGCAGTGTGACCAGCCAAGTTCCGTTTGTCCACGTCTGCTCCTCTCTGGATCAGTTCGGCCACCAGTTCTTTCCGCCCAGTTACAGCGCAAACCATCAGGGGCGTGGCGTCCAGATTAAGATCAAGACGATCCAGATCATCTGAGTTCCCCAAGAGCCTCCGGAGCAAGTCTTTATCACTGATGAAATCTCTATGGAATGAAGGATCCCTCAACTTTTTCAAGATTTCACTCATATCTTTAGCTAAACTTTTCGTTGAGGCGCCACTCTTTCCCCCATCACCTCCGCCCATCTGCTCCACCAATTCCTGCATTTGTTTCTGCACCTTTGTAAGCCCCTCCATATCAAACCTACTTTGACCGGCCATGTCTTTCGGAGCCTGCTTGGCCATCGTCTCCAGTTCGTTGCCCATCGCCCTGCACGAGATACGACACAAACAGCAGATAGATGACCTCAATCAAAAATGAAATGACCCGTAGAAACACCTCTTGACAGTTAAGGATTTGTTGGTGTGTTGTGGGTGCGTGTTTTGGTGTGGCTGTTGCTATCTGCTTTGGTATGTGTGACGTATTTGGGCATGGGAGGTGACGTTGTACGTTGTCATGGGTTTCAGCTAGTAGAGGGGTTGCAGAGAGAAAGAGGACGAAAGTAGACACGCTGTTTATCACTAAAGATCCACATGTAGTATGAATCATGCATTTGTTGAGTAATTATCCCAAGACGTAGTCACGTAACGAAGCTATTGAACTGCTCATTCAATGAGCAGTTAGTAACATTGACAAAATTAAAATATATTTTTTATAACTATCAAAATTCTTATAATAGAGCATATATTACATTTCAAAAGTTTGTAGGCTCCCTTGTAACCAATTGAACAGCGATTGAATTAATAGGTCCTAATGACCAGAGCCGTCACGTGACTTTTGATTGAATTAATAGGTCCTAATGACCAGAGCCGTCACGTGACTTTTGATTGAATTAATAGGTCCTAATGACCAGAGCCGTCACGTGAATTTTGATTGAATTAATAGGTCCTAATGACCAGAGCCGTCACGTGACTTTTGATTGAATTAATAGGTCCTAATGACCAGAGCAGTCACGTGACTTTTGATTGAATTAATAGGTCCAAATGACCAGAGCCGTCACAAGACACACCTTGCCAGTTATGTCCCCTTGCATTCAAAGTTTATGATTTAAGTTTTCCCATCACAACTTTAAGCCCCTTAAATATCCGAGGCCCCCTGTAGTCGCAAGGGTTGCGGGGCCACATGACGGCCAAGGTTATGACCAATAGTTGAGGAAATATTTACTACCACTGTAATTAACAAAAACATCCCCCCCCCCAAAACCAGCCAAAAAAAGGGGAAAAAAGGGGGAAAAAAAGGCAAACCCCTTGTTAGTTTTGTTGGCCTTGACCTGGAGAAGTTGCTTTGGTTTACAGTCCTCGTAATTTAAAAACAAATATTACTCATGACATTGACAAGTCATGTTGATGTTGTATTCAACAAAAAGAGTTAATCGTCTTTGAAAAAAAGTTGAAACGTGTAATGAAAGTATTTCTGGTAGATAAGAAGAGGGATTTTGAAAAGGGGGGGGGGGGGGGGAAAAAAAAGTGGTTGTTTGTGGGTTTTGTGTTAATAAAAAAAAAAAAAAATAAAAGGGGGGGGGGGGGAAGAACACAACTTGATTATTTGTACGATTTCTGTTCATTAAAAAAAAAAAAACAGAGCAGGTATATGATAGATTAAAGTATTACTATTCCGTAAAGACAAAGATGAACATTTTATTGTAAATTTATAATTGCAGATTTATAATTTAAAAAATCACTTTAAAAAAAAATTAGGTCCTCACTAATATAATCAATTATTTTAAGTATAGCCTAAGCTACTGCTGGTCATCTAGTGGCTACTGATAATGACACACAGTAAGGACTGATAGACAAACTCAAGATTTGCAATTTAACTAATTTAGTAATTAAGTTAGCCTCTAGACTCTAGGTCTGTGTCCGTTGTATGGCACGGCTATATTGCCTTTCAACTTTGCTATTTCAATTTGTAGCATTCTGCTATTAAAATTAGAGCACATAAAGTATATAATGTTGTGTTTTAGCCAAATAATCCACAATAGAGAAAACGAAAAAGCCTTGGCCTACCTAAAACAAGATTGGGCAGAGCTTGATAAAGATAAAAAACAGGGTAATGTTTAGTTTTAATAATGAATTTTGTCAATCCTTAACCCCCAGGTATTGTAATTAATAACAAACAAGATCGGGAAAATCCAAAATGATTAGGAGTAAAGCCTGAGTTTTCCCAGACTTTAAGTTTCGCGGGCCAGTGTGCTTGTTTCGATATCGCACCACTGGCCGGTGCCAGATTTAATAATTATATATTTGTTATGCGGGTTAGATGCCGGAAGTGCCGGTATGCTGACCACCATTTGGGAAAACTGCCCTAAGGCTTTCCTTTTCACTTACCCCAAAGCTGTAATTTAAAATAAGAAATAATAAAATGAAAATGTTGAGATTAAAGTAGGTATTCGTTCACAGTTTTTTCAAACAATATTTCCGTTAAGTGTAAGAAACAGTGAACACCCCCATCCCCCCCCGCCCCGTTAAAAATAGAAATGAGGACACCTGCCTGAAATAAAAAGTTACGGTGATAGAGAGAGAACCTTTACTTTAAAGGCCTATGGAGATTCAAATAAATGACATGGCAATGCACAATATATTTACTCATGTAGACTTAACAAGAGTTGTTATTCATTTTTTTTTCATTATTATTTTTCAAATCAAGATGGGAGAAGAAGCTGAACACTTTACAACATTTGCCACACACATTGGTTTTACTGAGCGGAATGGTATGACTTTTTGGACTAGTGCACACTAGTGCTACATTTGTAAAAATGAATGAACAGGGTATTAAGTAAGGTACCACGCTATGTTGATGTCATAATCTGTGGTCACTAAATACTGGGCAACACATCTAACAACATTGGAAGATTTGTTTTATTATTCCAAGAAAATGGTCTTACTTTTTCACCTATGAATAGCCTATGATTAGCTCCGCATCAAATCATGGGTGTAGCGACGGCGTAAACAAAAGTATTTAGGGGTAATACATGAAAGAGTTCCACGACCCCACTGGAGGGCCCCACTTATGCAAATCAAACGCATTTTAAATTTACATAAAGGTAGGCAAAATAAATAAAATTATATTTATAAATATGAATTTGTTTACTTTCATATCTAATTCTCTCATAAAATATATTTTTTTTAATATTTTTTTTTTTTTTTTTTTTTTAGGTGTTGGGGGGGGGGGGGGGGGAGAGAAATGAAACGTGCTATATACAATCGCATTTCTGAAATACCCAACTTCTAAACTAATATTAAAAATATGTTTTGAAATTAATTGTAAAATTTAAAAAAAAAAAAGAGAGTGGGGGTAATAGCTCATTTAACTCTTTCCCTCCGGATCAACGCTCCCATCGTCGATTTGAAATGAAGAGTTCGGCGTATCGACGATGGGATCGTCGATGTATAAAAACCTGTTTATTTCGGTTCTTTTCTTAGCTATTGGTATTTAGTTATATTAAATCAATTCTAGAATGATTTCCCTTTCATAAACATCCGGTTTTACTGTGATTGAGCGAAGAACGAATTGTTTGAAGCGGTTGTTTTGATTGTCCATTTTATTTTTGTTTACAAACATGAAATCTTGACCTGACCCATCTGGTGATCAATCTAATAAAGGTGGAAAATATTACTCTTATGATGATTCAGGCAGTGATTTTATGATTTCAAATGCAGAGGCTGATTCTGTTGAATCGTATGATTATAATCCTAGTACTAGTTTTAGTAGTACTAGTGACAAAATAATGAAATTGGTAATTCATCAGCTGATCACTGATGAACAACCAGCCTCGCCCCCCCAGCTAAAGGGCACATCCATATGGATTGTGTTTTAGGCTTACTATTGCTAAACCCAGATGGAAATATGTGACTAATGTATGGTAAATTCTCCATTTACTATTATAAATTTTAGTACATACAAGGATTCAGTGCAATTATTTTTTAAATAGCAACAGATTGTTTCCAGTGGACCAGTGGAATTAGTTAATTTTTTTTCCTAATTTTTTGTGTGGTGGTGACAATGGATAATGTGCTCTGAGGTTTATTTTTTTTCTTTTTTGAAAGTTGATCTTTATTATTTGTGATGCACATATGGATATAGTTCAGAAAAAAACCCATCTTTGTTACACTTTGGATTATATATTTCTCTTCGTGTGACTTCGAAGGAGCGTTTTGTGAACATTTGGTGAGTTTTTTAAAATAAATTTTTATTTTCATTAAATCACAATCACATTTATTTATTAAAATTTAAACCCAAATCTTGTTTGCTTGCAAAGAGCATGCATTTCCCTTTAATTCAATACCAATATTAACATTTTCTGATTAAAAACAAAAAAGTTATGAAGGTTTCGAATTTAGAGAAAACATAGTAGTGCGTATCAAAACCCGAAATAGATTTAATTTTGTTTTCAAGGGAAATTAATATTTATGAATTTATGTATATTTATCTATATATTTGAAAGAAGATATTTAGAGATTTTAATAAAAATAATTATTTTTGTTGTGTGTAAAAAAACGTGTGTAAAACGTGAAAATTATGCACATGGGCCTGCATCTAGGCTCCCATAATATGATAGTACACATAAACTGTCATGGATCTGGAGAGGCGTAATGATTATTTTCTTACAGTTTTCTGTAGTTTAAACAAAAATTAAGCTATGAATACAATATTCTAAAATAAATAAATATTTCTTTCAAGACTCTGCATCGACGTTCCAATTATGGTCTTTAAGTTTGATGTAGATTCACGTTACTTACGTAACACGGGAGTCTACTTGAAATCGATCCTTGCATGCAAGGATATCATGTCC